TAGGTTCCTCTGGCTTTGGCTCTTCTTTGGATGCATCTGCTGCAGCCTCTGGTGCTTCTGCCTTTGCCTTTGGCTCCGCCTTTGCTTTTGGTGTAGGCTCCTCTGGCTTTGGCTCTTCTTTGGATGCATCGGTCTTAGCCTCTGGAGCTCCGGCCTTTGCCTTTGGCTCAGCCTTTTCTTTCGGCGTCGGCTCCTCTGATTTGGGGTGTTCTTTGGATTCATCTGCCTTTTCTGATGCGTCTCCCTCCGGTCTGACTGCTGGCACAGGCGGTTGTTCGTCCGGTGCATCATTCATCATTGTGTCTGGCTGGTAGAACCTGCACCAGGTTGTGTTGCGACAATGTTTGCAAGCGACCTTCCTCCGTTTCGAACCTTCCCATGTTGGGAAGCACCTTTGATCACCCCCAGATCCGATGTCACAGCTCCCAAATCTGGTGAAAAAACATCCCCCTCAGATCGGCCGGCACCTGTCCACCGAGTGTCGCAGCATCAAGGAGGTCGCCTTCTGGGCACCTGACACGAGCCAACGCTACTAGGGTGGAGGCCATCGCTAGCAGACCGGATCTAACAGGTACCACTCCACAAGACTGAGCAATAGAAGAGCACGCAATTCATTGGCCACGCACTGAACAGAACAGCCCAGAAACCATCAGAAACCAGCATTAAACTGTACATAAGATTAAACACATTTAAAGAGGTTCTAGCAATAAGTTGGTAAGCGTGGTAAGTGTACAGTATACCAAAGTAGTCAAATGTAGCTAATTCATTCAGGATTCATATCCTTGTCATCCTTGTTACCACTGCATGCACAAAGGTGCTCAAATACCCACAACGGATGTTGAACTATGAAGTCGGACCGGTATGGAACTGCGTGGTCCCTACCGTGGGTTCCAACGCCGCATCATCCCACCAGTGTGGTCTGACTGGTTCCTCATGATTTAGGAAATCCAGAGGTGGCAACAGAGCTCTCAAGCCACTGGTTCCTAGTATCCTCTGAGAGGAAGATATGAGTTTCACTTCGAAGACAATCAAGATAAGGAACATAAGTCCATCAAACTGTCATACAGTGCCATACAGTTTGGCACCATTTGCAGAAGATTCCTCCAAGGACCGGTCAGATCAGCCAGGCCCGCCCTCTGCCTGCGTGGACGGCATACCAAAGAGGACTACGCCCATGGCAATCGACCTCCGCTCGGCGCCAAGTGGCGGTCAAGGCAGAGCGACACGCGAAGACATGAGATTGGATACGATTTGTTCTCAACATCAAGCATCCAGGAACTCGGGTAGCGGATGGGCTATGCAGCAAACATTGGAAGGGTTTGCATTCTGGGTGGTTGAGTCTAACATCCGACACTGCGCCCCTTGGGACGAGGTTGGACCACCTGTGGTGACTGGGAACAACACCTGCTGCCCATTCCGCATGGAGGTCCCAAGTTCTGCCTGGTGAGCATCGCACTTCCTCCGGAGCAAGGTGTTCCTTGGTGTAGCCACGATGCACAAACTCGCTGTGTTCTCGAGAGTGCCATGTCTCATGGATCTCCATGAGGATATGGATGCGTCTCCAGTGAGGGGGTCTCCTCAGCCAACTGGTTCTATCCTACTTTTCTTTCTAACTGGGGGTTTGGGTGACTTTCTGAATAATAAGGACATCGCGGGCGATAGCTCTCGAGTCAAGAATCACAACTATAATCACGACTATCACCTGCAGTGCGGCGGCATTTATTTAAGTACTAAACTAACTCAAATACACTATCTATTATGTGAGGGCCCTATCTCGGTTTAGACTACTTACTGTAAGTAGGAGGTCATGTCACAGTATCTCGTTCAGACTACTTTAGTAGCAAATCACACTATATATCTCGTTCAGACTACTTTAGTGTCATCAAACAAAAGTATCTCGTTTATGTGGGAGCCCTATCTTGTTCACTAGCGAATACTGATGATCGACAAGCAAATAGAGCATGCCGTAGGCTACTTTAGTAAAGCTGTAAAGCCTAAATAAAAGTGGTTTCCCGTCTCTTCCTATGTTGCTGCTGGGGAATCGGGATGTTGAGAGCCCGCATTCGGACTCTCTTCGTCCTCGCTTCATTTCAAGCTGCAGAATCTCCCACTGCATGTCCGGAACTTGATTTCCCAAGGCATAATACAAGGCGTTGCGGCCCATTTGATCCTGTCGACGATGCGCGCCGTCCAGTTGTGTAAATGAACACGTGGACAATGGGTAGCTCACCTTACCTGGAAGCAGCACTCAGCCCTGTGGCTAAGACTTGACAAACAAGCTAACAAGCTTGTTTGGCTGTTGGAATGGACGCAGCAGGTCAAATCAACCGTCAAACATCATCAACAAACATCAACAAACAAATCTGTCTCCCCGCCTCCGACGTGGCTCGTGGCTCGACAGATCGGATAAGCCTCTGTACAAGATCTGCCACCTACGACTCTATTGCTCAACCTTCCACCCCGTCATCCCAGCTCCGCCAGTCACTTCTCCGGTTCACCTCGGATTCCACCAAGTCGGGCCGCTGCTTCAACAAGAGCTGCACAATCCGCAAGGAGCTGCAAGAGGCCTCAGCACGCGCGCTGCTGGCCTGCCTCTAAGGCCATGAGTCCAGGGTGGTGTGGGACTTCTTGAGTGCAAAAAGACCAAGCTGGGCGGTGGGGCGCCTGAATGTGATGTGAAGAACCAGGAGGCCTTGAGACTATGTGGTCAGCGTAGAAAGGAATGCTTCGATCGATGATGATCTGCGTATATGCATGCAGCACCATTGAACCATCAAGTTTATCGAGACATGTCGTCCACTACATGTGCATCCACACGTCGGGACGCACGTAAAAATAAGATACTGGCTGGCATCACACAACCGTACTGGAAGCAAATTATAAATACTTCAAGACCTCAGGGGCATTCAGGGGGGCATGAAGCTCAACAAACCCCTCAAGACATTGTCTTGCATGGTCGAGGGATGTCGAGGGCAAGTGCCAAACAGCTTGGTCCCCTCCCCAGGCAATGCCAGCTGATGACTTGGAAGTAGTGTTGTGGTCTGCAATCTTCATGCCGAGAGTCCACGTGCAATGCATTCCTCAGATGCTACGTGGAGTGGCTGGATCCTGCAAGCAGTCCACACAAGGTGTTGGCCTTTTCCTAGGTCCTAGCTATATCAGAAGGTTAAAAACCTGAAGCCCGCCTACTTTTGGCCCAGAGGGGGGGTGGCGAAAGCCAGGCAAAGAAACAACGCTGGGGCTCTTTAGGCAGCAAAAGCCTGGCCGGGAATCGCAACATGCCATGGCCAAGGGAAAAGGAGAGTGCCAACAGCGCCCCCCCAATACGACCCCAACACAGCCAACACATGGCAACACACAACCACCCCAGCAACACACAACCACCCCAGCAGCAGCAGCAACAGCAACAGCAACAGCCACAACAACAATAACTGTAACCAGCAGCGGCAGCGGCAGCAAGCAGAAGCTACCAAGCAGCAGCAGGAGTAGCTAGCAAGCAGCAGCAGCAGCAGCAGCACCAGCTACCAAGCAGCTACCACGCAGCAGCAGCAGCTACCAAGCAGCAGCAGCAGCAGCAACAGCTACCAAGCAACAGCAGCAGCAGCTACCAAGCAGCAGCAGCAGCTACCAAGCAACAGCAGCAGCAGCTACCAAGCAGCAGCTACCAAGCAGCAGCAGCAGCAGCAGCAGCTACCAAGCAGCACCACCAGCTACCAAGCAGCAGCAGCAGCAGCAGCAGGGAAAGAGTGAGCTTTCCTTAGAGTCTTTCGTGCCTCAACATTTGGTCTCGAACAATAGCACATATAGGTGCTGCCTGAGTAATTGTAGAAGGGCGACGTGGAAAGACAGATATATCTGATATCTGTTTTTTCCACGAATAAATGCTGACGATGCAGCCAGCAGCGGTGTGCATGATTGACATCTAGGGGTTGCATGCGAACATGTGTCAGCGACCGAAGACTCCGTCGCAACGCTTGTGCATGCTCCCTGTCGCTCGAACATGGAACGCGGACTACCATGAGTGAAGCAAACAGCCCGTTCAAACATCTTACTGGGTTCTGTCATTCATGTGTGTAGTAAGCATCATCTTTTGATCTGCATGGATAGCGGATAGCGCATTCTGATTTGTACTCTTGGGGGTTGTGGGGTGGGTACATGCCTGTACAAGCTTCTTAAGGATATAATGAAATTAGCATCGTTTCACGACTCAGAGGGAATGCAACTACTCTCGATTCTAACGAATAGGCTTTCTTCAGCACCAACAGCAGCCAACAACCCCAAACAGCAACAGCAGCAAAACGGAGCAGACAACAACCAGCAGGCAGCCAGCATCCAGCAGCAGCAAGCATGCAAGCAGCAAGCAGCAGCAACCAGCAAGCAGAAAGACAAGAGCATCCAGCAGCACCAAGCATGCAGCAAGCAGCAGCAACCAGCAAGCAGCCAAGAGCCAGGCGCAGATGAGATGCCAGCAAGCAGCAGCGACCAAGCAGCAGCAGCAGCAGCAGGTACCGAGGAGGAGAAGGGTGGAGTTGAACCCCGCGAGGGGGGGGGGTTTAGTCCTGATATATCAGGTAACAGCACTCAGGTCCTGGGCTCCCACCCTCCTTGCTAAAGCAAGACAGACTCCAGCTAGCTACAGCTAGCTTTCGTGATGAATCCCTGGATTGCTCATCTATGTCGCGCTTCTGAAGAGGATCAGTCCAAACCGCCTTTCACCCAGGTTTTTCCACCAGCAACCCACCACATGACCCTGGATGCAAACGCATGCCGATGCACGACGCAAACGTACCGCCAAGAGGCCGACCCTTCATGTCACTTTGACGGCCTTGAGCTTTGTGCTGCAAAAGCAAGCGCGCCACCTTGGCAAGGGAAGCTGCGTTGGAATGGAAGTGGATGTTGTTGCAGGAATTGGCATCTTCCAAACGGCTGAGACCGTGCCTTCCTTCTTCCCAATAAGAGCATGCTCTCCAACAGAAACATCAGAATTCACATGAATCAACAGAGTGTCACTCCACACCTCAAGACCTCCCTTCTCCGGCCTAGTGATACACTTCGAACCCATTGGACCATCCCGGTGAAAAAATCCGCATGTCGCAAGCCGGTTGGCAACACATCCCCGTCGACGCGATCGCACCTCCTCATGTCCATTGAGGCTGCTCAACATCAAAGGTGAAGCACCATGGCCTGGTGTTGAACAAGTCTTGGCCAGGCGGCCAGGCGGCCGTTCTGTGGAAAAAGAGAAACAAAAGAAAAATGGAGGCCATCGCTATTAGGTTGGAGCCCATCACTCTTAGGAATGTTCTGAGACACAACAAAAACAACATCGGTGTTCCCTAAACAGTAAAAACACAAATCATATGGTGGATGGTTGGATGATTCAGATGATGTTGGATGTGTGTAAGCTCCATAAACTTCCTGTCCCGATGTCTCCAAGGGATTCGACTTTCCACAACTCTTTTGGATGGTGAGGCAATTGAAATGGCACCCTTGCAAGACCAAGCGACACCATGTTCCAAACCTTTAGAGGTTGCCAGGCAGGCCCTCTGTTGAAGCAAGATGACATCTGAAATACCGCATTCGAACACATTGATTGTTATGTCTCCCTCCGTGTCGTAAGCATTAAGCACTTTTAAAAGGGTCAGGCAGCTGGCAGCTGTGTTGAACTAAAAAGCTATCAAGTGTCATACGATAGGTATTCTAAGCCAATTCGATTTCCCAAGTAGTCTTCAAAGGTCCCCACAGGGAATTCTTGAGCTGCGTCTTGAAGTTCGGACCTTCTTGCTCTAGAACAGCTTCTTCGGGATTTTGAATGGATTCGCACCAATCCAGTAGGTCAGTGGGTCAGAAAACCTTCGGTTTACCCAATCAAAAGTCCCACGAGATCCTTGAAAGCACGCCAAGAACCATCCACCTTGGACTTTGAGATCAAGAAACATCCTGCAAAATAAGAGGCTAAGCTAGGTAATTGGCTCAAGGCTGCTCAGTGCTTTTTGCTCTCGACTAGCTATCACTGTGAAAGGATGCAACAGGAAAGGTGATCCCTGGTTCCTCTCACGACACAAGTCTTGGATCCAAGCAACCGAGCATGGACCACACCATTCACCGGTCCCTCCTGGGGGACCCGAGTCAATGCCGCACCTTCAGTGGCCAGCACATCTGCTCGCCTCCTCAACAGCAAGTCACACACCTGGCGATAGAGGAAAATCAACCTCAACGACTGGGGAGGACACTCTGGAACCTTTGCCCTGATCTATGCCGCTGAAGTGTGTATGTACTGATATGATACAATGATATAGCCATATATAGCCTATAGCCCCTACTGATATGATACAATGATATAGCCATATATGGC